AAACATTACATGCCTCTAGTTACACTAAGAACATTATACACCTCCAGTTACACTAAGAACATTTCACGCCTCTAGTTACACTAAGAACATTCCACGCCTCTAGTTACACTAAGAACATTTTATGCTTGCAGTTACTCTAAGAACATCCCATATCACCAGTTACACAGACAAATATTTCATACCTCCAGTGTTAGTGGTCAGCACCGGTGCAGGCTTGAGCTTCATTCTGTTGGCAACAGCATTCGGATGCACTGGGGCTTGGTTTGCATAGATTCGAGATGGTTGGGTCGGTGTTGAATGATTCGAACTGCGACTAATACTTGACCGAAAAGAAAGATCACTTGAATTGGTACCATGCAAGATGGGGGGCTTTGGCCGGTCTGAGTTTGGAAGAACTCTCGAATCACAAAGTTCTGCTCCTTCTGGTGGGTTTTTAAATATCTGAACAGAAAAATAATATTACCTTTATTATAAAAGCATAAAAATAACATCAACAGATTTGGCAGAATTAAAGAAAGCATTCATTCTGAATTAATTCTGCACAATGGCTTGGTGAGAAAACATCACCGTAGGCATTCAGGCAAGCATCCCACTGCTTAGGTAGGTGGTAAATGTTGCTTGCAAAAAAATAAAAAAGGATTGTGGTTGCTCACTGAACCAAGTGTTTACTACATTCATTATATATGCATCTGTGTGACATCCATGGTACCTACTCTGAACTCAGCTTTCAATATTTCAGTTTCTTACAAACAACCTTCTGAACTGTCCCAACTGACACATCCAATTTTTGCATGCTAGCAAATGTAAGCTTCAACAATGGGTTCCCCAGTACTGTATCGATTCTGGCAATGTTTTTTTTTTTTTTTTTTCTAATGCTACAATATGCGCTTGACCTGGCCATGGAATATCTGTTGTGTACTCACGACTTTTCTGAAACATTCACGACCAGTCTGTTAACTGTTGTCTTTAACACTCGTCTGATACTATTTGTAGGCTGTATCCTTCAATGAATGTCCACTACTTGATATTTTTCAAATAAAATAAACTGAATCACTGCTCTCTGAGCCTCTTTGGTTAGATTACTAATCAACCCGACCATGTTCTCAATGGGCGGAAACAGAACATCATGGAACAACATGTATGTGCTCTTTTATTCAGTGGTCAGTACTAATCGCATGGCTATGAGATGATCAGGTCCCTCTTCTTCTTCTGCGTTTATCCAAAGATGTAAATGTGTTGTGCCCATGACTGCCATATTTGCGCTTTTCTGTCGCACATCCTACTTCTGCAGTATTCGTTGCCCGGGTTATCCTTCCAGCTATCATGTTCAACACACACAATTATGATTGGTGCAGAAGGAATGGGGTTTCAAATGAGTGCTCCTAACAAACAGATTCTTTTAAAGCCAAAGTAGGAAAATTATACCTCTTCATAATTCTGAATAAGAATTTCAACGACAATATTGCAAAACTTGATGTCCAACACAGCGGCCATGGTCTCCTCCTCTGGCCTCATCAATGACGGCCCAAAACACACACCCAAATTGGCCACAGTCATTTTATTCTCCTCACTTTCATTAGCAATCCTGTAAACATCAAACAGATATGTGTAACTTGCAATGAAAGCATAACAATAACACTGAAATACAATACTGCTTTAATACATTAATTATTGGGAAGCTGAGGTATCTCAGTGACCAGACACTTGCCAGCTAATGGGGGTTCATAGCAAAGTCAAATGGACGTGGCTTAGTGCAGCGAAGCCTTGCATATAATATCACAATGTCTGGTTTGAGAATGGAGGTGGAGGCAGTCTTTGCTGTCTTCTGCTGGCTCGAGAATCAGCTGTACACACATGACGTAATTGTAACTGACTCACAAAGCACCTTGAAAAAGGTGAAGATAGGCATGCTTCATGCAGAGGGTAAGCATTACTTCAGAGGTCCCAGATAGTTAACATCCTTTGAATATTTTTTCCAGGTGATACTGGTGTGTTGGGAAATGAGCAGGCAGATAGACTGGCCAGCTCTGCACCACTTGGGGGTGAACTGATGTATGACAAGCTAGATGTTGTGAGGGCCCTTTGAGCACGAGTGGACAGTGCGGAGGTGCAGTTAGATTATTACGGTATGAGGAGAAAGGCGCTGTGAGGAGTTACCAGGGGATGTGTCCGACGCTCAACACTCAGGGGAAGAATGAGACAGAGATAGAATCAGATGGCTACTGGTCCCATAGGAATTGGAACTCTTCGCTTGCTGCTGAAGATGGGAACAGAGCACTTATGGGGGTGTCCTGAGTGCTGTGATGATACTTAATTCAACATTCAACACTTGTCTGCTGGCCAAAAGATCATCCTGCGTTCTAATCTAGTCCCAATTACCCCCTCCTCCCCCCACCCCCCACTTTCCCACAACAAGCCTGTCGACTAAATAGAGGTGTTTCCTCTGAAGTCAGAGTGCATCTACCTGAGAGGTGAGAAACCAACAGATAAGCCAGATCTGTAAAAGGGAAGTTCCCAATTAGCAGACTCTTATGACATACTTGTTGGGGAGGCAGTGGGTCTATTTTTGTTTTTCCCCATAAAGGGGTCCTGGAACCCACACAGTGATCTGTGTGTCGATGAAAGCCACACTAAATGCCCATCACTGCTCTATGTGAAAAGTTAAATTGGCTGTTTTTAATTATTGTACATTTTGACATAACAGGTCATTTTGATATGATAGTCCATTTAGACTTTTTGATTTATCTAGAAAAGTGTATACATAGTCTATCCTGACAAACTGTTATGCAGCCTATTTTGTTAATTTATAAAATAATACATTCTGATAATCTGACAAGAAAATCAATTTTGAAAATCTTTTATGATAACAAATTCTGATAATCTGGTATGATTATCCAGTTTAATAATCTAATTCAATGGTCCATTTTTTATAGCCTATTGTGATTATCTGATCGGACTGTCCATTTTTATAAGCTGATAATCTATGACTACACACACAAATTTAAAAAAAACTATCTTAGAAATTGCCAACTCACCTTTTTAAATGTCCTATCAACAAATCTAGCATTTCAAAGTTGCGTTTAGGCAACTGATGTACATACTTGTGAACATCTAATATTCTCAAGGTTTTACTTTCCTGCTCTGTGGAGTATCAGAAAGTTAGTCAGCATTTAAAACATCAGTTGGGACTTCCATTTTCAAAATGGCGGATAGCAGCGGTGTTTATTTTCGCTGGCTGTCAATTCTCTCGGGTTATTCTGTTTCATAATCATGGACTGATGTTTTGTGTGCATTTCCAACGCAGGATACTGTGTGTTTTTCGTGGGAACAGCGTGTATTGTGGTTGTGCTGTGTCGGGGCGGGATAGTGAACTACAGTTTTGACGGCCTCGACCACGCTGCCTTCGCGGCGGTCCACTCGGGAAGACAGAATCTCGTCAGCAGGGGACTGCAACTGTCTAGAGAGCCAACTCGATAAAAGCTGTCCCCAGAAATGGAATATGTTAACCAAATATTTGGTGGGGAGGAATCGACACTTACGGTTAACTCAAAGGTCATGATCAAAACATCAGTTAAGTGTAATTGTTAACTTCTTCATTATGTAGACATTATTATTATTATCATCATCATCATCCTGTCGTGCCATTATATGTTACATAGGGCTCACAGACTAATTTCCCCCCCCCCCCACTGCCACTTCTGCCTGCCAGTCACCCCTTCTGCAGTGCAGGTGGGGAGTCTTCGAGGATTTAGGGCCACATGGCTAGTGCTGTCGCCATGGTCTGTACAGGATAGGATTTTATTTTTGTCCTGGACACAGAACAAATCCACAACCTTTTGTTCTGTGTCGGAGACAAAAATAGCCCAGGATTCGAACATGGGTCTCCCACATGAGAGCCCAGCATTCTTAACCATTCAGCCAGTCACTTCTATCCTCAGCAATCCAATTCAATATCATGGATGGAATCTAGTCCAGCAACTTTGGCCTCTCTCATCACCGTTCCTTTTAGAGTTTCTTTTGGGCGTCCTTGCTTCCCCAATCCTTTTTTTTTTCTTATCTAAGTGCCTGTTTGATGATTATCTGCTTCTTTTTTTCTCAGGATGTGTCCAACACAGCACCTTCTTCTCTGTCTCTTAAAACTGTTGTTACTTGTGGTTTACCAGTGATTTCTCTTATTTCTTCACCCCTCTTAAATTCACCCCATTTTATGTTTAACAGGGCTAATAATAAAAAAACCAAGGTCAACGCAAGGTATGGAAAAGTTGCACGCAAACACAACCAAATGCTTCAACCAAAGTAAAGAAATGAGCTTTCTGTATCATCATCATCATGTGCCCTGCCAACTGGCGTAGGCACTCATGCGTCTCCACAGATCACGATCCCTGGTTGCCTGGAACAGCTCTCTTGATGATATCCCTCCATGCCATCGTTTCAGCCCATCCAGCATCATCTCTCTTGGTCTTCCTGTATACATGATATGATATAATTAGCCCAGCTGTTTTGCCTGTTGAGTTTTCTACTCACAGTCTGTGCTGTATTTAGCACTCCGTTGATAAAGACTTTCGTCAAAATGTACGGTTGTGTTTGCCCGCATCTTTTCCATTCCCTCCATTGAGCTTTCTAGTCATATTTTGTGTTATATTTAGCATTTCTTGCAACAAGCTCGACTGCAGTCACCCAGTATTTACATCATTACTTTAAAAAACTTGCAGACATACTCAGGAGGAGATCGGAGCATTTATGGTTATGTCATGTGTGATAAAGATGATCTCTAAAATGAACAATGAAGGAGATGGCTCGTCACCAGCTCTCCTGCTTCATGCAATCACCTGGCCAAGGTGCCTTATGCGTCCTGTGCCCCACTTTCCTGCTGGTCGGCCCCTGTTTCACTTATCCAGTAACTTAAGCAGATCAAAGTTTTGATAAAAAGGTGCATTAAAGGTTGTTTTCTTTTAAGCTCACATAAAAAAGGAAATAACATACAATGTAACTGTACTTACTGGCAGCTCTAATAAAACTTTCATGCAGACGAAAAGTCATAAGAGGTTCTGGCAGTGATCTGTGATAGGAAATTTAATATATGATAAAGAAAGTATTGAAAAGTTTTTTTTTGTTAAGTTACCTCTGTATCAGGGAGCACCCATGGTGTAGCGGCTGGACACTCACCTTCAGATCTGAAGGTAGTGGGTTCAAATCCAAAAAGTGATTAAAAAATTTTTTTTTAATTTTTCAAAAATGACCTCGGCTCTCAGGTCGACCTAGCCTTAAATGGGTACCAGGTAAAGTCTTGGACAGTAAAGGCGGCTGGCGAGATATTGACCACATTACCCATAGAATGCCGACTGGGCTATAAAATATAGTCTAGCCCTAAACGCCCAATACACCTGACGGTGTGTTAAAAGGTCTTTTTACTTCTGTATCAAAATTTTTAACAAAATGATTACTGACTGTGCTTCCTACATTAACATGTTTCTTGCCGCAGTATATTCTCAGGTATGACTGTGTGTAACCAGAGGGGCTTTGGCCGGCTCAGTACACTCAGCGGAAAGGCAAGACGGACATATAGTCAGACTGTGACCGGTACCATAGTAGTGGAATTCTGCACAGGCTGCTGAAGATGAGGACGGAGCACATATGGGAAAGCCGCGAGTGCTGTGATGTCCATTCTTGACCCAACTCAACTCATTCTAGTTATGAAGACTTTGTGCAAAAAATGAAGTCAAACAGAGAAGCGGGGAGAAAAAGGTACCCACCTAAGATAACTTTTTACAGCACTGGTAATTGTTTTTGTTTCCCAAACAGAAGGGTCATCGTAGCTTAACTTTTCTGCTTTCTTCGGATCTGCAAACAGAAACATCATACAAATGTACGTACATCACTCAGCTGTATATTTTGTTAGCTTTATATTGGCGTAACACATTCAAACATTTGTGCACCAATAAAGTATTACAACTTTTAACTAAAGTTATGCTAACTTTCAGCTCAGCAGCTAAGGAAACATGCAAAAGGTAATATTTTGACTAGTAATAAAAAGTGTGCACAGAGTCAGAAACAAAACAAAAATGTTCTTCTTCATGTTTACTGGCTGTACACTCCAGCAGAAGTCTTTGGTCTTCTTCCGGAACTGAGCTTTGTGTATACATGATACGAAAAGTGGTTTTAAAGAAGAATGCTTAAAATTCCTTGCACAGCCAAAAAGAGTAACCCAGACGCTTTGACACCGACAACTTATCAAAAACAAAAGAAAAAGTCATCATTTTTAGTCAAGTTATGAGAAGAGGAAAATAAGAACATGTTATGACCACTGGAAAGATCTGTGGAAAGAGAGACAGGGGAAGACATCACAGGGAGAAATCACAGCCTAGTTTTAAACAAGCCAACCACCTGTTTAAGGGGTGAACATAGAAGAAGGAGAAGAAGAAGAAGTAGAAGTAGAAGGAGGAGGAGGAGAAGAAGAAGAAGCTGGACCACTGTCTCAGCAGGCAAACGTATTATCTACTATGCCATTGCAGCTTTACAACTGAGGATATAGTGGTAATAGATTGCAGGCTGAGCTAAGATATCTGCCTTTCTCTACAGCTACAAATCTCTATCACTGATTACAAAAATAACACACCAGGGTATATTGTAGAGTTAGAATTCTACTCAAACCAGCTTTATCATCATAATTATCTTGTTGTGCTATTTTATGTCTTATATGGCTTGCAGTTTAATCCTAAATTCCATGAATTTCCATGAGCAGGCAGACAGATTGGCTGAATCGGCACCACTGGGTGGTGAATCGATACATGACAAGGCAGATGTGGTCAAGGCCCTTTGGAAACAAGCAACGGAATCAGTAGAGGAAGAAGATTATTATGAGGCACCTGGGTGTAACTAGAGGGTCTGGCCAGCTCACTACATTCTTAAGAAAGGCAAGACGGACATATAACCAGATTATGACCGGTACCATCAGTATTGGAACTGTGCGCTGGCTGCTGAAGCTGAGGACGGAGCACACATGAGAATGCCCTGAGTGCTGTGATGTAAATTTTTGACTCAACTCAACTCCTAAATTCCATTATATAATGAATCCTTTCTATATCATGGACAGAAACCAGTTCAGCACCTTTGACCTCTCTTATCCATGTCTGTTCTAGGGTTTCTTTTGGACATCCTTGATGCCTTGATCCATTTGTTTCTTACTTCAGTGCCTGCTTGGTGATCCTCTGCTCACTTCTTCTCAGGATGTACACAGTTTAGTGTTATCTTTGTCTTATAACTTATTCTTTTTCTTCTTCTTCTTTGCGTACACCAGCTGTAAACTCTGGTGGAAAGTTCTGGTTGTTTGTCCACTTCTGGACTGCAGTCCGGTTTCAAGACCTGAATGTTGCCTGTGCATCCGTTTTACAGATCTGATACATTTGTGTGCAGACTGTTGGTTCCTTGCCTCTCGGGTAGATGCACGCTGACTTTGAAGGAAGCTCCAAATTAGTCGACTCTTAATATGTGCTTTTGGGTAGGCAGTGGGTCTATTCTTGTTTTTCCTATAATAGGGCCCCGGAACCCACAAGAGGTACTGTTTAGACCAGCTTAGCCTGGCTTTAACTGCCAGGGTCGGAATGTCTAATGAACATTCTGTAGAAACAAGTCCCTTTTAATGGGAAAAAAATTGCATATTAAACTTGCTATACTACTAATCACAGGCTTAAAAGTTGTCCCCATGTGGAATGTAATTTTTTTGTTATTTGAAGTCCCATCCTGGCTTCTGCCGAGGGCCCTGAATACAGCCGAGGCATAGATATGGCCTAGCCATAGATATGGCCTAACGGCTGAAAGGGGTTTCTCTCCATGGGTGATCCTCATCCGCATAGTGGCACTTTGTGTCTCTGGGTGTTTAACTCTTGTGTGATGTCCTGGTGGGGTACAACTACCTACAGGTGCCATGGCAGGTTTGCCAAACAAAGACTATTGATATAACTTGATGGATAGAGGGCACAACCGATTATGCAACCACATGTACACACAATTCAGGATAGGCGTATCAGCCATGTGCACCTGTGAAAACTGTGGAAAGGTGCCCCAGACAGCAGACCATGTACTCCAGGACTGCACTGAATTTGACATATTGAGGCAAACCTTTTAGCCAAAAGGAACAACAGTGGAACGTAAAGTCTATGGACCACTGAATGAACTAAAAAAGGACAATGAAATTTATACGAGAGACAAAACTGCTGATAAAGACAACATATTTCAGAAGAAACGAAAGAAAAAAAAGGTAAAGTCGGGAGATGTGAACCAGCGTGAGATGTGAACCAGTGTCACTGCACACGGTTATAAACTATAAGTAGGGACAGCTGATAAGAAACTGTCCGCCTGTGTCGCCGTCTGCAGGGAGCTCCGTAGCTACAGTGACGTTCCTTCATTTATCCCTGAGTGTTAACTCTGGTACCCATTTCCTAGAGGCTGGGTGAACCCTGGAAACCGTCCGGTTTCGAACGAAAGAAAAAGATATGATGGATATGCATATTATTTACATTAGTTAGCTATGTATCCTTTTCAGAATGTTGCAGAAGCAACCACAGCATTTTTTGAGGAAGGGCTGTTTTGTGATTTTACTTTGCAATTTTTCATTCAGTAGTTTGACATTGCTTCCTGAATGGTCAGCTTTTGATAACACTTCAGATGCAGACAATTACATAATATGTAATGCATAAATAACATAATCACCTAGTGGCAAACATCTGTATCTGCCTCTTAAATTTATACTCATCATCTTGTGCCGTGCCAGTAAGCGTAGGCTATGTTTCACCTTCTCACCAGAATCATGGGTCAGTTCACACTGTTTTTGTCCAACCCCCTTCAACTATCTCTTTGTCTTCCCCTTGCTCTCTTTCCATCAACCTTGCCAGCTGTCACCAGCTTATCGAGTCCACTCCTTCTCGTCTGTCCAAGAAACACTGACTGTCTATCTAATACAGCAGTTCTCAACTTGCCGGGTGTGACCCTTTTTTTTTAGGTCGAACGACCCTTTCATAGGGGTCACCTAAGACCATAGGAAAACACATATTTATTGAAGTTATGAAGGAAAATAGTTTAGGGGGTCGCCACAACCTGAGGGAACTGTTTTAAAGGGTCGCAGCATTAGGAAGGTTGACAGCAACTGGTCTAATCTATATAAAACATAACTTTTTTGGATGTTACAAGATATGGACACTCAGAACAATGAATTGCTAGATTCTTACCTAAGGCAATTTTGAGAAGATTGTTGACCTTTGAGCTAACCCCTACCACTCTGTACAAGCCCTGCTCTTGAAGACCTAAGAAATCAGATAAACACAAACATTATTATTAACTAACTAACTTACTCTCTCTTTTTCTGTGCACACACACACATACACACACACACAAACTGATACTATTATAAATTCCAAAACAAAAAACTGGAATGTTTCTGGAAGGCAAAAGCTTAAAATTTGAGCTGGCTGAAGTTCTCTAATCATTTCATTCTACAGTTGTATGTTATGTGTCTTGTCTTCTTCTTCATCTGCCCTTCATCACTCATTGGAGCACAGGCCCTGAACCAACTCATGCCAAGATCTGTACATGTTTATACCATTTCCTCTTTTTCGCAAAAATGGTGTCTCATAGAACTCTGGTGTGTTGTTTTGTCTTAGGGTAAGACCAAGGAAAGGAAAGTCTTTGCTTTAAAAAAAATTTTTTTTTTCAATTTAAGAAATCTTCTTTGTTCTTTCCCACAACTTTGTTTTTTTGGCAGTTGTTCGTCTTAGCTAGTGCATGATATGTATTGCAGAAACATCACATCTCGAATATCTCTGTACAGCTTTCTCCGTTATATTATACTTCCCACAATTTGTTTATCTGGCAATTGTTCACTCTAGATAGTTTTTATTATTATAACACCATCATCATCATCATGTAGAACTTTGCTTTCATCATGGTCTGTCTGAAAGAAACACGGTCTCTTGCCACCTCTCCCACTTTGTATACCTTCATATCCTTTGTCCCTGCCCCTCCATCCTGATACCTTGCCTTCTTTTTCTTTATGTTGTAACACACTTCAAATATTTCTACACAGTTTCTTTGTTCTATTATATTCCCCACAATAAGTCATTTGGAAACATCAAGAAATTAATAGTGAGTTCTTTGGTACTGAAAGAGTTGAGCAACTAACACATACAATCCAAAACTAGCAGACTACAGACCTCTACTTTCAATGGCAGCTATAGACTTGCGTATAAAGGTGAAACCAATGTCATCAAGCATTGCTGAAACAAAGAAAACATGTGTCAGGTTGATATCCATGGCTGCTGACCTTGATCTAAGTAATATTTTCTGCACATCTAAACACAGTAACTGAACATTTACAGATTCTTTTTCATCTTCTTCTTCCTCCTCCTCCTCTTCTTCTCCTTATCCTCTTCTTCTTCTCCTATTCCTTTTTGTGTTTTTTTGTAAGATTACAGAGAAACACAACCAACTCATGTTAATCCATTTTAAAGTCTGGTTAGATTTCGAAGCTTCATTTTTTTCTACAAGATTATATAATCAGTCTCACGCTAACCCTTGTCCTTCATAAGTCTTTTGGCTATTTGGTTTTGGCAACTATTACACTCAGTAATTTGTCAGTTCTTGCTGAAAAGTTGGCATTTAATCGTTGCAATGCAGCCTGCTGCCAAATCGCCTGCAGCTGGAATCCATGTACTTTGAGATTACAAAGCATCTTCGCAATGCCTAAGCCACAGAAGGTCACATCCATAGTAGGCTATAGTATTAACATTCTTTGCATTCCATGCAGGCCCCTACAACACACTCGACCAGATTCAGTCTTCGGGTCATTATGGAGGATAGGCAGTTAGCTGTTTTTAGTCAAGGCAAGTGCTTGCTTCTGACAATAGTAGGCCGTTGCATTTTTCTCGATATTTAGAGTGAAAGGATAGTTTCATCGCCAACCTACTGAGCTAAGTTGATAGCGCAATACTATAAAGGGCTGACTTCTTTTGGAATGGCTTTTCCACTGTGCCCAACATGGTTTATGTTGTAAACTTTACATTCACAAAATGGAAAGTGGCCTGTAACCACAGAACTAATGGTGTCTTATGTGAATAATCAAGTGTGCAACTACTGATCTATTGTAACCGCTGCTTCCATCGAAGGTCAACTGCCTTTCAAGTGTCAGACTGTTTGTGTTAGCACTTCTGATGGCTGCTTTTTGAATTCAATGAGTGTGTATGCTATTGCATTTGCCGAGACTACAGTCTGCAAACATTTTTCCACAATAGACAGCAATGATGTCAGTGGTTTTCATTGGCACAGGAATGGTGTGCAACTATGGGGCAACCCAACTTTTATGAAGATGGAACTGTGGATACATGATTATCTGACCAAAATCACTTTAGTTAAATAAATAAATAACTTAAAGCTACTGAACAGTTTTGCTTGCTTCTACAATCACATGCTGTAATTGTAACCGACTCACAGAGCGTGTTGAGAAAGGTGGAGACACGCATGCTCCGTGCAGAGTGGCAAGCGTCAATTCAGAGGTCCCGGGTAGTTAGTGCCCTTTAGATATTTTCTCCAGGTCATGCCGGTGTGTTGGGAACTGAACAGGCAGACTGGCCTGCTCTGTACTACCTGGTGGTGAATTGATGTATGACAAGCTAGATATTGTGAAGGCCCTTTGGGAGCGAGTGAACAGTGAGGAGGTACAGACAGATCGTTATGGTCCGAGGAGAATGGCGCTGCGAGGAGTTACCAGGGAATCTGGCAGAGGCTCAACACTCAGAGGAAGGGCAAGACAGATATACAATCAGACAGTTACTGGTGCCATCAGAATTAGAGCTCTTTGCTTGTTGCTGAAGGTGGGGATGGAGTGCTTATGAGAGTGTCCCGAGTGCTATGATGTTGATTCCTAATTCAACACTGCTTGCTTCTTTGCAATATAAGGAGTAAGTCGGTTGCACATTCTTTACCAGATGTTGCAAACCAAAAACCAGCATTTGTGGGCTTTTTGCCTTGCAGTTTTACACTGCCTAGTTTGCCATGCCTGCTAAATAATGAATGCTCATACCGCTGTCATAATCTTCAAAAGTGATCTGCGTCCATGTCCCCTGCGAGGGAATCGAAACTGGTATGTCAAAATTATGAAACTGCATTTATAAATCTATAAACCAGAGCAATGAAAATAAAAAGCAGAACAAACAATAAAACAATAAAGTGGTTAATTTGTTTTTCTTTTAAATGGCAAGGGAAAAACAAACACTCACATTCTTCAGGTCGAACATTATGCACTGTGTATGTCTGAGGAAAATGATTATTGTGAAATTAAATGCAAGAGACAAAACAAATACCATAATTTGTCAAGGTATAAGATGCCCATGTATAAGACAACTTATAATTTTTAAACCCAAAATTAAGAAGTAAACGTCTTAAACACAATCTGTCTATAAGACCACCCCCAATTTTAAGCTTTACAAAACCTGTCTTATATACAGAAAAAAATGACATGTCATTTGACTACAGAGATTCAAAACTGTATGTTAAAAGTTATCTGCCTTTACAGGACTCTGCTAATGAGCCCCAGAATTTATGGGCTGCTGTGTGATTTTACTAGGCCCATTTATATTCACAGGTTTGCCATTGCTATCAACAAAACAAATCTCCTCTTTAAATGTTCCATGTACAGGTTTGGGTGGTTGTCATATGACCTGTAGTTGGTTAGTATACATTTCTGATAAATGAATTCTGCCTATATTCCATAGTTGTGTGTTTAAGCTGTGTGACAGAACTGGCTAACTATGACAACTTTTTTTATTTTAAAGGTGTCTAGTCAATCATGCGTCAAAGTACACTTGTTCCTGATGAAGGCGCTAGGTTTGATTCCTGGCAAACTAACTACAGCCTTCAATTTGTATGTTATCTGGTGTGCACTTCTCTCTCTCTCTTTACTTCTTTCTGCAAGTTCAGACCTTCTTCTTCTTCACGTTTACCAGCTGTAAACTATGGTGAAAAGTTCCGGTTGTTCGTCCGCTCTAGACTTTAGTCTTGTTTCAGAACTTGAGGTTTGCATGCACACCCATTTTACAGATCTGGTTCACTTCTATGCCAACTGTTGGTTCTATGCCAACTGTTGGTTCCCTGCCTCTCAGGCAGATGCACTCTGACAGAAAGAAACCCCAAAGCAGTTGACTCTTACAACATGCTTGTTAGGAAGGCAATGGGTCTATTCATCCCCCCCCCCCCCCCACACACACACACACACAATGGGATCCCAGAACCCAGAGAGAGTGACAACCAATATACTGTTAATATGTTTGCTTTCTGGATGCTACAACATCCACAGTTGCCCCAAGAAAAAAATCACAATGCAACCTGCTACCAAATGGTCTGCAGAAGACATTGAGCCCTGGTATGGCAGGACTGTGAAACAGCATTCACAACCTGTAGGTCACAGCAACTGACAAGACAGTAAGACTTCTAATTATAAAACCTCAAGCAAATTTATCACAGATGAACATACACTGTGTCTGTAGCTGACTTAATCAAGTTTAATTCTTTATCTTGTGTGCGTCTCTCCATCCGTTTTATCACTGAGAATCTGATTAAGAAAGACTAACTATCGGATTCGATCTTGGATGTGCTCTTCATTCATAATGGTAATTGTGGCCTTAAACTATATCAATTCATCTGTAAAGGTGACTGTCTGTAGTTTATGTTGTGTCTACTTGAGCTCTTTGTGAAGTACCGTTTTATTTACAACCTTGTTACACTGGTACTGTCCCAAACTGCTATGTGATTCAAGTATTTCTCATCTTTTTCTACTCAGCACCAACTTCATTCATCTCTCTGATGCCCTTCTCTTTCCACTTGGTGACCTCAAGTGTCCATAGGTCTGCCTGTATTTCATCTCTATCTCTCTCTCTCTCTCTCTCTCATTTTTTTTTTTGGGCATTTATAATATGTATTTTATTTTATGAAAATGACTTGCTTTATTAATAAAATACAACTGCTCTGTGAAAGGCGGGTGTTTGGAAGGGCCAAATGTAAAGCCGGCCTGTGTGCTCAATTTTTAACCCTTTGAAAATAAAGTTTGTTTTCTCTCTCTCTCTCTCTCTCTCTCTCCGCCATTTGTCTTCTTGGTCTGCCCTGTGGTCTACTCCAATTCACCTCTTGAGTGAACATAAGTTTTCATCTCTCTGTTATCCAGCATTCTCTATACGCACCCCACCACTGCAGTCAATTAGCCCTCATGATGGCAGTAATTAATGGTAATTCAAACAGATTATGAGCTTCGCTGTTGCTTCTTATTCTCCATTCTCTACTGTTTGCATTTTTGTTTCGTTGCAAGACAGTTCTCAAATATTTATAATAAGGCTTTAGAGCCATTAAAAAATTTATGATCTATCTTATTATTATTAAAATGCATCATAAACACTTAATTTGTGTGTTTTTTTTTCTTTCTTTTTTTCTGTATATGAGGATATATGAAACTCACTATGATGTGTAAGTTCTAAAAGCTAAATAACTTCAACTGTTATACACACCGGCTCCTTGCCATCCATTGCATCGAGCCACTGCCGTCTGTCTTCATCTGACAGAGCCTGGAAGGTTAAGGGCACTGACCTAATGAAGTAAGGAAAGAAAAGACTCAAATAAAACTTCAACAAAATAAAAAATTCCAAACCCTATTGCCTAGCATTTTTTAGCTGGTTATGCATGCCAAGCAATTGACATCAAGAACAGTGCGGAAACTCAAACAAAGCATCACGTTCTAAAGAGAATGGTATAGCCGGGAGTAATCTAAGGATTTGCAGACTCTCCAGGCTCAGAGGAAAGATAAGATGGACATACAGTGATCAAGGGATCTACCCGACTCTCCTGGCTCAGAGGAAAGACAAAATCGACATAGAGTGATCTGAGAATTTGGCCGATACATCAGGCTCAGAGGAAAGACAAGATGGATATCTGGGGATCTGGCCGACACTCCAGGCTCAAAGGAAAGACAAGACAGACATACAGAGATCTGGGGATCTGGCAGACTCTCCAGGCTCAGAGGAAAGACAAGATGGACATACAGTGATCAAGGGATCTCCCCGACTCTCCAGGCTCGGAGGAAAGACAAGATGGATATCTGGGGATCTGGCCGATACTCCAGGCTCAGAGGAAAGAAAGACGGACATACAGAGATCTGGGCATCTGGTTGACTCTCCAGGCTCAGAAGAAAGACAAGATGGACATACAATGATCAGGGAATCTAACCAACACTCCAGGCTCAGAAGAAAGACAAGATGGACATACAATGATCAGGGAATCTAACCAACACTCCAGGCTCTGAGGAAAGACAAGATGGACATACAATGATCAGGGAATCTAACCAACACTCCAGGCTCAGAAGAAAGACAAGATGGACATACAATGATCAGGGAATCTAACCAACACTCCAGGCTCTGAGGAAAGACAAGAAGGACATACAATGATCAGGGAATCTAACCAACACTCCAGGCTCAGAAGAAAGACAAGAAGGACATACAGTCTGACCGCTAATGGAAACATCAGAATTGGAACTCTTGTGTTGGCTGTCAAAGATAGGGATGGAGAACTTATAGAAATGATTTGACCACTGTGATGCCAGTTCTTAACTCAGTCCCACTCAACTCATTACCTGGTTGTACAGCTGATTCCAGCAGGGACCTTGCCATTTCATGTTAGTTTCCTAGTCCTAAATCTTTTGTACTTCATTATATATATTAATGTAGCACTGTAGTAACGAACATGATGAGATATCGCAAAGTATGCCAGGCAACAAATTGAGCAATATATTTTTTGTGTTCACATCATTTATAAATAATATGATCCATTGATTAGAAATATTGCATTTTTATAAAAGGATAAATCAGCAAGGTAATTTTTCTTTTTTAAACTGTTATCAAAATAATTAACAGATAAGAATGAATGAGTGAAGAGAAACAGTTTCAAATGTAGTAAAGAAAGAGACAGGTTGACCTGGAAATATAACATAAGACTTTTTTTTAAATAATTATAACAATAATGAGAACAATACAGTTATTTAAAACAGACAAGATGGATATACAGTCTGATCGCTGATGGTAGCATTAGAATTGGATCTCTGTGTTGGCTGTCGAAGATGGGGGGCTGCGTGGTCTCGAGGCATGGTGTCCGCCTCGAGTGCTAGGTATGGGCTGGGATTTTTTTCACGTTTCACTTCTAGTAATTCCCATGGTCTCTGGGTAGTGAGATCAGATGCCCATGTGCATCGTTGCGCACGTAAAAAAAATTCCTTGGCAGTTGGTAATTGAAAAGAGTAGCCTAACTGTGCGGCCCAGGCAAAATTTTGAATTAAAGTATTTTAGGATCCTCGCCAGTGCTACAGAGCCTGTGCACTGTGCTGAGCTTCTTCGGACTGAGACTTGAGTTAGAAGAACAGAGCACTTATGGGTGACTACCCGTGTGCCATGATGTTGATCCCTTGTTCAAACCTCAAACTTAAAACAGATGAAGGTAACGTTACTTTTATAGTAATAAAAATAAAATAAATACAAAGTAAAAACATAAAGCACTGATGGCAAATGGATATATTCAACTTTGCATGCACACACACTCTTATACATGCACACATATACATAGACCCATATATAAAGAGAGAGACAGAGACAAAGAGAGAGAATCACTATGAAATGAAATGACATTTCAGACAAAATTCATGCAAAGATATAGAGAAGAAAATTGTTGCTAACACAGTGGTAAGTCATAAGTTTTTTTAAACATAATGAGTGCATCATCAAAGAAATAAACACATCCTCTGTCAACTCAATTTCTAAACCTAAATACCAGACATCTTATTTTGTTTAGGACAGACTGCAGGAAAGAGAATTGATAACCTCCCCTAGCCATGACCTAGTTTAGGTTAAAAACTCAAATTTAAAATCTTCTTCTTCCTCACGTTCACCAACTGTAAACTCTGGCGGAAAGTTCTGGTTGTTTGTCCACTTCTGGACTGTAGTCCTGTTCCAGAGCCTGAGATAAAATGATACCTGTTATGCTAGTATCTCAAACTTTCATTAAAACAAAGGCTACGTTTTACAGACGACAATGTAGCTGTTTGTCTGTGTCGCCTGAAAGCTAAAGAATAGCAATGCTGTAGCTCACCAAGCCTTTATTACAGGAAATGAAGAAACGTAAGCTTGGGACTAGGCACATCCTAGTGAGAGGACATCACACATCCACACAGGACTACAGGTTACTTTGTAACTGTTTTGAACGGGGTTTCCGCGATGCGCAAATGCAGATTTGGAGGGGTCACGCACACAAAATGAAAAAAGCCACATCCAGAAAAGATACAAGCTGAGAATCGTCAAAAGCACTGAAATAGGAAACAGATTGAGGCAATGAGGGTGTCCAAGATAAACCCTAACACCAGCACTGATGAGGCTGATGCTGGGATGGATTCCAACCACAAAATTAAAGGTCTCCACAGGATAGAATGGAATGCAGGAACAGACTGTGAGCCCCATGTGACATACAATGGCAAGGCAGGATGATGGTGATAAAGCATTCAACAGGTTACTGCATCATGTAGAAAACATAGCTGCAAAATCAAAGACCAAAGGAAAGGAGCAGAGTTGAATTAATTCAAGAACCCACATCACAGCACTCAGGGCATTCCCATAAGCGCTCCATCCCCATCTTCAGCAGCCAGTGAAGAGTTCCGATACTAATGGTGTCAGTTGCATTCTAATTAAACGTCCGTCTTGCCTTTCCTCTAAGCCTCGAGCATCTGCCAGAACCTCTCGTCACTCCCCCCCCCCTGCATCAACCTCACCAGACTGTGGTCCTCCAGGAAAGGAATAAACAATAAACAGGAAAATAATATAAAAGGAAGCACTTCTCATAGAAGTATGTCATGATGCTGAGAAAGCCAAAAGGAATATGCATTCTGGACAAAAACAGCAACATCTAATTAGAACCAGACAAAATGTATATAGTAAACATGAATATGATCTAGTTTTATCCACCAGAAAATGAAAAGGTGGAATTTATTTTACTCATACTATTATAAATTTTAAGACAAAGAAACATGTTCATGAGCTACCTGTTGCCACCTTTGTGTTGGCCGGCCCCTGCCCCTTCTGCTATTATTCTTATATTAAATTTTATAAGTTCAAGTAAGTAATAAATTATTATTTTAATTGCTTTTCATATCAAATTAGCAGGTCAACACATGGCGCTTGATATGACCAAAACATTTCTGCTTCTGAGACAAGATGCTGTTTATTAGCCAATTATCCTTGATGTTTAGATCTTTTAGAATGTCAGTATTTCTTTTCTTCTCTGTCTATAGTGTTCTAAGACTCCTTCTATAGCATTTCAGCTCAAAAACCCATATTTTATTTCTTAAGGACTGGGAACTACAATATCATCATCATCAACAAGTGCCTGGCCAGCTGGCATAGGCGTTCATGTATCTCCACAGATCTTGATCTTTGGTGTTCTGGATCAGTTTCACTGCTGATATTCCTCGATGCCACTGTCTTAAGCCATACACCATCATTTATCTTGGTCTGCCTCTGCCTCTTCTACCAGTGATCTTTTTAGTTGTCACAATATTTTCCAGTGCTCCTTTTCTCAACACATAACCAAAGAACTTTGTCTCCTTCTTATTGTTGTATTTGTTCTACTTTCATTAGCTATTTCCAGGCATCATTGCTAGATTTTCTAGCAGTCCAAGGTATTCGCAACTTTCTTCTTAAGAATCACATCGCAGTCATAATATACCTTATTATATTATCTACATCTATACCATCTTCTTGTGCCCTTTACCCCCAGTGAGGCACAGTCCCTTAACCACCTCAACCATTACTTAGTCAATAAGAGATATCATCCATTTCCCCACCTCACACACACATACACACATGCGTACATACATCCGCCCATTCACAAGGGCGGAAACACTAACCAACCCTTCCCCTCCCCCCACACACACACATACCAAATCAACTTTACAGAAACAAAGAAAAAATGCAACATACAAAGCCTCAAAGTCTGAAGAATAACGCATCCATTTAAACGTGGAAAAATGAAATGGATGCAAAAAGTAATCCAGAAACAGACACAAAAAAAAAAAGGGAGAGGGATACAACTGAAAGAGCATGAGAGGCATAACAAATAGATGCTGAACCTGTCTTCTGCATATTTATGCTGGTGATGACTGTGGAGCCTTGACGGTGATCTCACCCCGTTTGCGGGCAATGTCCAGCTGCTACCTTTGTGCATAAGTCTGCTGTTTGTGAGCCTAAAAACGTATCATTTATTTTGACACTGTGACAAATTTTCCATCATCATCATCCTCAAGTGCCTGGCCGACTGGCGTGGGCGATCATGCCTCTCCACAATCTGCGATCCGCAGCTGCATGTATCAGTTTGTGTGTTGACACCCCTCCATACCATGACAAAAAGCTGTCAAGAATCTTCTCGCCCTGTCTTTCCAAAAATCTTTCCAGTGGTTTCAACATGTTCCATTTTCCCTCTTCTTATAACATAACCAAAAAAATGATGACTGTCTCTTTCTGATGTCTGTGATAAGTTGTCATGGAGCACCTGCCTCT